TTAGCATGACACACACTGAGGAGCCAGGGTAGCCAATTATCAAACAGATGTCAATGTATGCCTTACAATACTAAGGGGAGCCCAATTACCACACAGATGTTTTGTTTTCCTTCTTCTTTCCACCCAACATCCTCCCTGTTCCACGGTCTCTAAGGACGAACCCCCACCCGCCCCCGCTCCCACACACACCACACACACACACACACACACACACACACACACACACACACTCCCTTCACACTGATGGAGATGCACTCCCTTCTTCTTTTATTCCAGACAGAAGTTACCCTACAGCCACTGAAAATCCATGAACAAACTTTCTGTTTGTGTGTTTTTGCAATTCAAACAGATAACAGATGAGGAACGAGGTGTAGCCTTTAAAGGGGAGGCATCATGTGAAGCCGACTTTTTCTTGTTTTAGCTTTACATCATGTTATCATGTCGTTGCCTCATCAAACACATTCCTTCATTCTTTGTTTGAATTATTTTTTTTTTAAATCCTTTATTCTCTCCTGGCAATCGCAGAGCGTCTCCAGCTCAGCTCCTCCAGACTAGCGGCAGCAGCAGATAACATACAACTAGCAGAACTGCTAGTTCATAGTGTGAGCTACTAATCGGCGCAGCGCCGTGAAGGAAACATTGTTAAAAACTTAACTTATTGTGGAATGTTGCTTCTCCTCCAGACTAGTGGCAGCAGCAATTAGCAGAAACGCGGTGAGCTCGTCATGCAAACTACTTCTCAGAGAAACACTGGTCGAAAGCATATTTGAACGCTCTACAGAAGAATATTGTTGTGATGATTTCCGTCACAAAAGAACGGGGGCTTCTTAAAGAAACAGAAGCCCAATTTCAAGGTGCTAAAATGCGAAGTCAGATTTATTTTACGTCATGTTTGATTTATTCAGCATCTTTACAACCGGAGATAATGTAGTGACTGTATTGTGCTCTAAAATGATGCTACGTGTCTGGAACATAGAGCTGTGCCTCTAAGTTCATGAACTGTTAATATTCTACAGCACAAACTCTGTTTTTCTCTACATGGTCAGAAGTCGGATTTTCTTAGTTCCTAGACGGAAACAAACTGGAGATGGAATTTCAGCCCAAAAATTTGCAAGTGAACAGCCTGAGTTCACATCCTGCAGGCTTGGATGTATGTAACATGAGAAACGTTTACTCTCCTGTTCATAATCTCTGATCAATTGGTCCAGGAGGCAGAAGCTAATTGCTAATCAGAGAGGAGCCAAAAACCAGAACGGATCGTCATGGATGAGTTCAACGTCCACAACGTCCGAGACGTTTACACAAACTCAATTTAGCGACTGTCAAAACCGTCCAACACTTCGCTTGTACCAGTTATTTACAAAGAAGCCAATGATCACAAAGAAAGGAAATGAAGGCTGCGCGCCGACAACAACCTTCCTGTTGGAAACGCAAACTGAAAATGGGACTATTCTTCTCCCCGTTTTTTATCATCTGTTTTAGCTTTTTCCAATTTTGTAAACTGTTTTTGCATTTACAAAAAAGAAGTTACGAAATGAATGTTTCGCACTCGCATCATTTTGTAGTTTTGATTGTTTATCATTTTTTTCTCTTACCTTAGCTTTCGGAGTTTAAATTTTAACCCGCTCTCATCCTCTACCTGGAAGTTCATCCCCCGTTTAGGAAGCGAAGTGGATTTCCTGTAACCTGACCTCTGCCGGCTCTGAAGAGGTCGCGTGACGGTCGGATCAAATTTCACAGCGGCTATGAGGAGTCGAAACGCGGGTCAGGAGAAAAACACGCAAACAAGTCGACAGATGCACAGTTTGCAGAATACAACAGCAGAGGCAGAATCACCTCTTCTCCAGACGAGCTGGTCTGGGAGATGAAGTCGGTGAAAAGACCACCGAAGACCACCGTCTTCAAGCGTCTCCAGTGCCGCTGTCACGTTAGCACTGGGTGGTCGTTCACAGGGAGGAGACGACGTGCCGCCGATGTCAACCATCTGCCTCATTTTGTTTTCTTCCTTTTTCCGCCCTTTTCCAATTTCCACCACTGTGCTTCTGCCCCTAATTGCCGCTCGAGTCATTCCTACTTCCATTTTGTGTCCGCACCAAAATCACTTCATAACCACGTACTTAAATCATTAAGTATTCATTTTCCAGCATTATGCCATCCAACTGATTTTTCATATAGATTTTTTTCACTCCCTACTTACATAATTTTGGTTCTTATCTCCGGTTTAATCGGATGACAAGTGAAGACTCAGAACCCCTCGGGTCAGAAGGATCAGTCCGGGACGTTCGGCTCAGATGTTTCACAGTAAATTTTCACGTTTCGGTTTCAAAACGTGGACAAGAAACAAGAAGGACTAAGAAGAAAAAAAAAAAGATGCGATGACCAGCGGCTTTATTTTTTCTCTCTCTTTTTATCACTATAGGAACGATGGTTTTCCTAATTCTTTGTTTGTATGTTTGAGTCTGATGCGATCTGTTGAGCCATTTCGTCAATATGTTCACTCACGCGTCATTTCAGTGTTTTGTGCAGCGTGTCTAACCCCACACTGCAAGGCAGCCAAACCTGCTCTATTGTTTGCCAAGAGAGGAAAAGATATGTTTGTGAAAAATGACCAAAAACAACAACAAAAAAGCAACAGCACAGCACCTCAGACTGCAGCTACAGCCTCAGAGAGCAAATAATCTGGATTTAAAGTGAACATAGGAGTGAAGAGAGTCATCTGCTGCAGGTAAAAAAAAAAATAAAGAAAGAAAGAAATGAAAAAATAAACACCTTTTAGCAGAATTTCTTTTGAAAGTCCAGAGCTCGAACCTTTGAGCTCGATCAGCTCAAAGGTCGCCGATTTATTTGACCCCGGACTTTTTCACCCCAAGTTCAGTGTCAACAAAACGCTTTTGGTCACTCCATCAACCTCAGCCATGTTTCCGTGTCTTCATGCCAACTTTTACAAGACGAAAAAGGAAAAAAGTTGTATTTTTTTTTCACCTTTCGCTTTTCCGCATTGTTCACACAAAAGGCGACATGACTTTCTTCTGAGTCTACGCAGTGGAGATTTGCTGGGGGGGAGGGGAGAAGGCAATGTCACTCAACAGGGTGGAGGGAAGTGTGTGTGTGTGTGTGTGTGTGTTTTAGCGACGGGCGGCAGAAGCAGGAGGAGAAGGAGGAGGCTGCGGATCAGGACCGAGGACAGCTCCCGGTGGACGTCTGCGTACTCGCTTTGCCGAGTTGCTAAATGGAAGTCCGCTCTTGTTCAAAACACACACACACACACACACACACACACACACGCACACACACACGCACGCACACACGCACGCACACATGCACACACACCAGCTCTTTACGCTAAGGCACACATTTTAGTGAGTGTACGAAAAAGAAATGGTTTCAATCAAATGCATCCAACCACACACACACAAACACACACACACACACACACACACACACACACACACACACACACACACACACACACACAGAAGCATGATTCTTGTCCAGGCTCTAACAACAATTTAGTAATCAGCTATTAGCTCAGTCCCATTTCCCCTCTTCATCCATCTCCACTAATGGATTCCCAAGGCTTCGACCAAGCTTTGTGTATTTCCTCCTCCCTCCTCTTACTAGGGGCGGGAGGAGGAGGGGCGGGGGACAGAAGAGAGCCTAAAAGAGGGAGAAAGCCCACATGAAACCGAGGAGATAGAGAACTTTACGTCTCTCTCTCTCTCTCTCTCTCTCTCTCTCTGCTGCTTGATCAATAGGAATTTAATGGACAAGGATTGAGTTCAGGGAGTTCATGCTTGCCAACGTGCCTGAGGGGCTGAGCACATGCACGCTGCGAAGCAGGCAGGGAGGCACACACACACACACACGTGCACCCACACACACACACACACACACACACACACACACACATGCACTCATTCAATTTCATGTTCTTTCCCCATGGCACACACGAACACTCACACACACGCAAACACGCTGGCGCACCTCATGCTGCCAAATGCTCTCACACAAAACACAAGCTGTGAAAAAAAAAAAAAAAAAAAAAAAGCTACCAGCTGAATTGCAAATGCTGTAAAGTCAATGGATTATAAGATCCAGGCTGAGTTTGCTCTGATACAGACTGAAACCGTGATGCACTGATTATTGAATTACACACAGAGAGAGAGAGAGAGAGAGGGTTGGCATTAGGGTGGGGTTGGGTGGGTGGGTGTCTGGATGCAGGAGAAATCTTGAATATTTCATTGATGCGAAGCTAAAACAGCAATCAATTGAAGAGGACATCGCGTTCGAGGAGCACAGCCTCCCTCCCTCCCGCCCGCCCGCCGGGCTGCTGCTTTAGAAACGGGTCGGCTTAAAAAGGCCGTGTTTACATTTCTGGGAAAAGAAGAAAAAAAAAAGAAGAAGAAGAAAAAAATAGAAAATCAGATTGAAACTTCTGCTAGAGGACATGAGAGGGGATGGTACAGGAAGGCCTGCAGAGCCTGACTGGACGTCCACAAGCAGATGGATCTGGTGCCGATATCATCACATCAACGTTTGATTATAAAAATGAAACAAAGAACTTTTTTTTAAAAATAAATAAATAAATAAAACCTTATCTCACTGTAGGACTGCAGTGTTCTGCACTGATCAGCTGCAGAAACCGGAGCAACACTTTGTTCCCACTGATGTAAAGTTTGAAACCTTTCCTCCAGCTGAACCTGTTGATCCAGTTTGACGTGGAAGCCCTTCCCCATGACAACCGCGGCGAAGGCGCGCCGTTCTCATGGCAACGACCGCCTCGGAGCCAAGGAGCTCAGCTAGCTAGCCAGCCCTGTTGCTAAGCTACCCGAACCTTTAAAATCTCCATCAAGTTTTCGGCGATGCTCTGGAACTGTTACTATGGCGACACGTTTCATCGGAACGCAACCGAAACAGCAACGAGCTAATTGCTAACAGCTAATAGCTAAAGAATGAACCAAGCTAATGGAATAAGAAAATTTTTTAAAAAGTCGCTCAAGCAGTTTAAAGGGAATTTAGGTGCAATAAAAGATACAAATTTGATTGATATTATTTGATAGTTAATTTTTGATAATTGTTTCTTTGAAAGCGTGTGACCAATGAGAGCAACAATAGAAAAAGAAAACATTTTATCCTTCCTTCCTTCCTTTTCTCTTTCTCTTCTGGGTTTAAAGTCCATTTCAAGGCCAGCGGAGCTTCTGGACCACAAAGCTGCAGAGGAGAGACACGTCTCGCCTCCGGTTGTCAGGGAAACGCCGACATGCCACGTTGCACTGATAGACGTTAAAGGAAAAAAAACAACAAAAAAAACAAAACGAAAACACACCAAAACAACAACAACAACAACAACAACAGCAGCAGCAGCGTGTTAATTCTGTGACAGGCTTTAGTCGCGTCTTCTGTTCCTCTCAGCTACCGAGAGAATCGCAGCGGAGGAATTTATGATGCGAAATGAATGAAATGTGGTTTAATCAGCAAATAACAGGAACTGATCGGAAATGAACGTGATCTGTTGCATTTTGTTAAGTGTCACATGTTCCAGACAGACAACCGGAACCGAAGATGTTCAGGTAGGCCTATTTAAAAAATAAAAAGTCGTTATATATATATATATATATATATATATATATATATATATATATATATATATATATATATATATGCATGCCTATAGCCGTCTATTTAAACTCTGAAGTCACTCCCATCCGCAGCGCGAGAGCACGAGCCGCTGCGAAAAAAAAAAAAAAAAAAAAAAAAAAAACGTCGAGCAGCAACAAGCGTCCAACTCTTTGCATCCGGCAGAAAGTCTGGACGGGAGGCGGCGGAGGGCGGGGAGGGGAGCGGGGCGGCTGGGGGACAAGTTGGAAAACAGTACTGGAGAAAAAAAAGAAGAAGAAGAGGAAGAGGAAGGCTTCGCCATGACACCGGTCATCTGACTCGACTCTGGCGCTGGATTATTATTATTATTATTGTTATTATTATTTTCCTCCACCAGCGATGATCCAGCATTTGAATAAAGCCATCCGCGTGACAGGACTGACGGCTGACCGTGGCGCGGCGCGGCGCGCTGCGCTGGAGCCATATTGGCCCCACGCTTAGTGCCTGTGGATTCATTTTTGTTCCACAGCAGTCAAGTCAAACGGACTGCGGTCAGAACGGCAGCGTGGAGCATCATCATCATCACCACCATCCCCATCATCATCCTCATCCTTATCCTCAGCAGCAGCAGCAGCATCTTCATCTCTGGAGGACTCGGTCCATACTCACCCCCCTTTGTTGGTGGAAGTCTGTCAGTTCCTCTCCGCGCAACTCAAGTCGACGGCTGCGTGTTGGCAATATCTGGAAATCACACTGAACAGAGGAAAAGAGAGGGAGAGAGAGGAAAAGAGGGGAAACGCCCCCTCGAACTCTCTCTCTCTCTTTTTGCTTTCCATCCTCAGAAAAAAGAGAGAAAAGAAAAGAAAAAAAGAGCCTGCTCTTTTCCCTTGCGATTAAAGAGAAAGTGAAGGGATAACAATAGGAACAGTTAAAAAAAAAAATCAGAGAGGTTAGATGTACACTCCACCCTTTAGATCCTCTGGCTCTGCTACTGCGATCACACCTCTCTCTCTCTCTCTCTCTCTCTGTCTCTCTCTCTCTCTCTGTCTCTCTCTGTCTCTCTCTCTCTCTCTCTCTCTCTCTCTGTCTCTCTCTCTCTCTCTGTCTCTCCCTCTCTCTCTCTCTCTCTCTCTCTCTCTCTCTCTCTCTCTGTCTCTCTCTCTCTCTCTCTCTCTCTCTCTCTCTCTGTCTCTCTCTCTCTGTCCTCCCATTGTTGCGAATCAAGCGTGGTCAAAGGGGCGCGGCGGCGGCACGGAGGAGAAATGGATGAAGCCTCCCTTGTTCCCTCTCTCGCTCTCTCTGTCTCTCTCTCTGTCTCTCTCTCTGTCTCACTCTGTCTCTCTGTCTCTCTCGGTGCCGGTGGAGGGGATGCGCACTGATCAGGATGTGGAGACAGTTCAGACACTGGCTCAGCTTCTGGGCGTTGGTCTCATATTGTAGTAATAGTAATAATAATAGTAGATAAGTGAAGTCATTCGCTTGTGACACAAGCTGACAAAAAGGGGGGCGGAGGGGGGCAAACATCCAGGGGAATCAGAGGGAGAATCAGCAAAACCCTCTTCTGATCCATTTTCATACGTTTCTGTCGATTCAATAGACTAAAGACACAAATGAGTCGGATGAGATTCGTAAAGTGTACAGAGGGAGGGAGGGATGAAGAACTGACACAATGAGAGAGGAAAGGAAAGGGGAGAGGAGGGAAGGACAGAAGCAATCTTGAAAGAATGAAAGAAAAACAGGAAAGAAAGAAGGATGGGAAGAAGAAAGGAAAAGAAGGGGAAGAGAAAGACACGAAGGATGAATAAAGACAGAACAAAAGAAATCAAGGACAGAAACAAAGGAGCCTGGGAACAAGGAAGGAAGGAAGGAAGGAAGCGAGTATAGGCCTCAAGAGGACGAGAAGGAAGGACACAAAGTACGAAAACATAGGAAGCAAAAAAGGAAAGAAGGCATGAAAGAGAGGAAGTGATGGGACAAAGGAGGACTGGAGTTAGGCCACAAGGAAGGGAGGAAGGATAGAATGAGGATAGGCAAGGAAAGGAAACACTTCATGAGATTGTCTGTGTTTCGCCTAATGAACGTGGAAGAAAATGTCAGGAAACGTCTTCCACTCCGCGAGTGCTTGGCTCTTCGCCTCCCATTGGCTGACGGGGGTCTCATGATGACTCTGTCCCTGTCAGGTTGGTCCCCAGAACCAGACAGAGGGAAACAAAAAGCCGTGGAAAAAGTGTCTCCCGATACGACAGAGACAGGTGTGACCGTTTTGCCAGATTCATAAACATTGTTTCCTCCTAGAATAGAACCGAAATGTTCTTTGTCGACCCACAGAGGAGACGTTCTGCTGTAAAAGCAAAAAAACAACAAAAAAACCCGTAAACAACCAGTTGGATTCAGAGTCTGCCGGCTGCTGGGGGGAAGGATCCGCGGCGGCGCTCCTCTGTGCACCCAGGATGCAGCAGCGCCGCGTTTCTGTTCGCGTCGGCCGCTCCAGCATGAAGAACCCGCTGGATCAAGTTCCTCTCTCTCCCCCAAACGTCACGTTTCAGAGACGTCGAAGCCGCAACGGCCCTTTCAGGCGAAACCTTAGACGACACAGTGGACGCTCAGAGGTCGCCGCCGTCTTCCGCTTCATCTCGTTGTCTTTCTTTCTTTCTTTGTTTCTAAATTAAATTATTAGGAAGTAGACCTTGGTGTGATTTAATTAAATTCCTTAATCATGTTGATTAGTAGATCTGGATGGTTTAATCAATGAAGTAATAGTAAATACATCTTAATTCAACGGGAAGGGGAATAATTTACCCATTAGAGACATTTTGATACATTTATTAGGAAGCTGATTTATGATGCACATCGAAACAGTTCAATGTAGCTTTTTAAATATATTTAGGGTTTTTTCTTTATATATGTACATGATAAAGCTTCAATGGACTCGAGGTTCCCTCACAACCAGGATGTGTGTACCGTCAGTGTTCCTCCGTCTTTGTCGTCTGGTCTTAATTCCATTAGGATACGATGCGCACATTAAACAATGTCTCTAACCGAGGCTTGGAAATTATTCAAATGTAACCTTCACCAAAAGTGCTCGGATGATAAACCTGCGCACCGGGAGACACTCATTAGGCGGTGGCAGGCTGCCCTGCGCGGAGGGCTGCGCTTTGGAGCCGGCTGCCCCGAACATGACCGCGTTGCGCGTCGGGCTAATTAACTTTTCACAATTACAGATGGTCCTGCATTTAAATTCGAGCCCCGCATGATCGACATTCTCTCTGATTAACTCCGGAGGCCGCCTCCAAGAAAAAGGAAAGAAAAGAAATCCTGATTTTTTTTTTCTTTTTTTGGGAGGGTGGTGGTGGTGGGTGGGGGTTTGTCTCTCTCCTCTTTCCTCCCACTCTTTTAAAAAATGTTATTCCTTATAAAAAAAAAGAAGTGTTTTTCATCAGAGGCGCGCGGTGGGAGCAGCTGTTGCAGGTGAAGGTCTTCCTCTTTCTCTCCTTTGTGTTCCGAGTTTGTAGGAGGTGAAATGATAAATTCCGCAAATTTCTCGCCGCTCTTTGCGAGGCAAAACTTGATTTTTTTTTATTTGGGATGGAGGGCCTTGCAGTGTTTCCCATTATCTGTGTCTCCATCAGCGTTTTGTCACGTGCATTTTGAAGGATCACGTTAGAAAATGTTGATGGAAACGGCGAAATTCAAACTGACTTCCTGAACGTTGCTGAGTCTTTACGCTCGCCTGAGGCGGTTTTTGTCATTTCTCACAAAAGAGTCAAAGCAGCAACATGTAACTTTTGTAAAAGAAATGTTTTCTTCTTGTTCGATGAATCAGTCACTCCATCATACGGTATGAAATGGATAATCTGTGAAAAGCTTGAGCTCTTCTGCCTTCTTGCAGCTCCTCCAAAGGTAACATAAAATTCTAACAAAATCCTTTTTCTTTCCCCATTCTCTTTTTGGAAAAAAAAACAAAAAACTTCTTTGTTAATAAGACAAAAAGCTTAAAGGGTGTGAACACTTTTGCCATGCAGTCTAAATCAGATTTAATCCTTCAGCTCACATGTTAAGGTCATTACAAGCAGTTTGTTATGAATACCATCAACTGAGAGTGCTGACAATCATGATGATATGACAAGTTTGAGTTTTAGTGTGTGTGTGCGCGCGCGCACATGCATGTGTGTGTGTGTACAGTGGCCCACAGTGTGCATGGCGGCTCCCTGACAGCGCCTTCTCGGTGACTGGCTCCGTATCCGTCCTAATCCAATCCCATGGGATTTCCAGCCATTGAATTTCCCCCCCAGCAAGCGGACCGGCAGCTTCAGTGGGATCTGCGCTTCCCAAATCTCCAGCAAACCTCGCCTTATCCGCCGAGGGATTACACAGCTCAGCTCCCAGGGCAGCCGCGAGAGCAGAGGTGTAGTGCACTTCCAGAGGAGTGGAAGTGGGAGTGGAAGTGAGACGGGAGGGAGGGGAAGTGCTGCTGCTGCTGCTGCTGGAAGCGCGGTGCCTCGCAGAAACGTTCAGACCTTCGGCCGCGAGCGTCAGAACAATTACCGGGGCTTTCTGCGACACACCGCGCACAAGGCAGTGTGTAATTGCAATGTGATGTTACATTTAGTGAGAATTGAAATCTCAAAAGTGTGGCCTGCATTTGAATTTAATTCTTGCTATATAGATAAAAATAATTCACCCAACAATCCCCACACGAAAGAATTAGTGCGTTATTTCACGCTGATGCACAGTTGTGAGTTTATTGTCAGTTTTTCTGCAAAAACGGTTAAAATGGTTGGGATTAAGTGACTGCTGCTAGCTACCACCTGCAGGTGGCAGTATTTCTTACTTCTGCTACGCTGGGATCAATGTGATGCTTTACAAAAATGTAGCTGCCTAAATGGGCAGTTTAATCTAAAATCAAGCTTTTCGAGACTTACATTGTGCTAATATGTTATTCCCTCATCAAAAACAAACCTGGAACGTTGCCTTGATTTTTTTCCTGCATGTTTCAGAAATCCTGTAATCTCCCACGGCAACCAGTCAGGGGTGCCTAAACGGGCTCTCACCGAGTGCTGCCTTTTCCATACTGCAGCTGCTGCTCCTCCTTGGAGTTGGGAGTTTCCAACCCAAGCTTTCGCCTCGCAGAGCGCCCCTCCTCCACTCAGCTCCTTCAGACTAGCCCGCACCAATTAGCAAACACCAGGTGGAGCTGCACATCTGCTGAGCTCATTATACGAGCTAAGAAGCAGCTCGTACAATGCTGTTAAATGTTGTTGAAGGCATAACAGCGAAGATGGAAATGGCAGGAGTTTCTTAAAGAGACAGAAGTCCAATTTAAGCCATTGAATTGCCATCATGTCTTGTTTACTGAAGGTATCATATAGTTATTGGACTGTGTTATAAAATGCCACTCATGCCTGGAAAATACAAAATGCTGTTCCTTTAAGATTGTGGTAGAGGCTCCCTTCCACCTGGACAATGACCGTAAACACGGTGCAGTTATTCCTCAAAGAGGCTGGAAACAAATTGATGCTGCACTTTTCAGTTCTCTATTTGAAAGAAAAAAAAAACCCGTCACCATCTATCACTTTCCTCACTCTTCACAATTATGAACTACTTTTGTGTCAGCCGGTCACATAAAATCCCCCTGAAAAGCATCGACGTTTACAGTTTCCAGCATTTAAAAGGTACGAAAACGTTCCCGCGGCGCCGTGAAGCCTCAGCGCAGCCGCGTCACCGGACTGCGCCGCCATTTATCACGCTTTTATTATTTGTCACATGGTATCAGGTCGCAAGATTTTTACAACTGCTTCGTAAGGACAAGGTGGAAAAAACACACACACACATACCGATACACATGGTCAAACCTGACCGTCTTTGCCTCTGCAGCTTCAGTATTACATAACGCTGCTGCAAGTTGCCTGTCAATCATTGAAAAAATAAATAAACAGAAAAAAAAATGTCATTATGCACACAGTGTGGGCAAGCCAAGTGGAACTGGGGCCTTCTTTTGTCAACTCCCAGGTTCTGAGGTCACTTTTTGGCGTCTCTACCTGAAGTCGTGACACATCGTGGGAAGAACTCAGAAAGGAAGGCCGAGTTGTAAAACCCGCCTCTGTCCCGTCGCTGGCCGCTGCTGTTTTTTGTTTTTTTTTGCTCTTTGCTTCCCTAATTTCTCCTCTATGTCTTGCCTCTATCTCTCTCTCCCTCCCTCTTTTGCAGTCTGCTCAGATCCCCGCGGTATGAGCACATTTCTCATTCCCTCTCCTCTTTCTCCCTCGCCCCGGCTCCCTCAAGATTGCTGCTTTATTAAACAGACTCTCCCTATCTTTCATTTGCCACTCTCCCCACTGTGATACCCACTGTAAATCTCTCCATATATATATATATATATATATATATATATATATATATATATATATATATATATATATATATAGCTGTCTTTGCATATGTTAGCACACTTCTCTGCAGACGTGTGTGTGAGTGTGTACTTCTAGCCACTGTATTCACTCTAGTGCAGAATATGGTATTTCTCATCTCCTTTGTTTTCCTGCACCCAGAGCCCCCCACACCCCCCCACCCTACCGTCCTCTCCCCAGTACTCCATCCCTCTCTGACCCGGGGCAGCTATATTTAGCGGCAGGTTAACTGCTCCTGTCAAAGGTCTGATTTGTATTCTCGGCATGGAAGTCTGACTCGGGCTTCGCCGCAACACAAACAAAGGGCCCCGGTTTGAATATGCACTGAGCCCAGTGGCTCAGCAATCAAAGCCCCCTCTCTCTGCCCCTCTGCCAGTGGCGCCACCTGCCAGGGAAAAGGGAGTTTGGGGGGCATGGGGGGGGGGGGGGTTTGGTTGCGCCGCAGTGGTGGGTTTGTGGGTGGGGGTCACAGGGAAGGAAAGCCAGACTCAGTTGGCTCCAAATACACACATTTATGCAACGGGCTGCACCTGTAGCAGCCAACCTGTGCTGCACCGTCCACATATCGACCAGTGTCCACATATCGACCAGTGTCCACATATCGATCAGTGTCCACATATCGATCAGTTCCCTAAGATAATTTCAAATGAGAAAGGTGGAGGTTTTGTGCTTGGGACTCAAAATGTATTTCAAATGATTATAAATATGAAGTTTTATGTCAGTATCATGTAAAATTTACTTTTTTGAGATTTACGTCACGGTCTAATGTTCTTCCCGCATCAAAAACATACCTGGAGTGTTGCCTTGATTCTTTCATGCATGTTTGAGAAATCCTTTAATTTCCATGGCAACCATTCAGTTGTGCAAAACGTCTCCGTCTCTTCAACAACGTAGCTCCTCTTCGGAGACGCATTTTCCAAGATTCCGAGATGCCGCCTCGCAGAGCACCCCTCCTCTGCCGCTCCGCTCAGCTCCTTCAGACTAGCCAGCAGCAATTAGCAAACACCTGGTGAAACTGGGCATCTGAGCTCAATATAGGAGCTGCTTCTCAGTTAAATGCTGGTTAAAAACGTTGTTAAAGGGGTAATAGAGGAGCCATGTTGGGATTACTTCTTGAAGACGGAGTTTCAGAAAGAGCAAGAGTTTCTTTAAGAGACTGAGAATTTCCATTGACTGACCCGGCGTCCCTTTGAGGCTGCTTGGGCTGAAACAGAGAAAAGACACTAAAATTGTTCACGTCTGATTAAGACCGGTGTTGCTACACGTCACATGGGCTGAATATGCGACCTTTAAGCGACAACAACACAGCAAAATAATAAGGTTGCATCTTCCCTGTCTTAACAGCCAGACTACGGGACAGCAGGAAGCAGGAGCAGGATGGGAAAACGGAGAAGAAGCATCAGAATAGAAATCTGCCCCAGGCCTTAAGTGACACGGGAGATTAAATCAAAGACAACATACATTACACCCAACTGTAGATGCTGAGACACATGGGGAGCTCTCGGAGTCGAGTTGGTGGAGAGGTGCGATTCTCCCCTGCTGCTTGTTTCTGCACTGCTGATGCTTGGCCTCATCTGGAACGGCAGCAGGCAGCGGGTGAGAGGTTCGTCCAGTCTGACCGGGCGCTCCGAGCACGACTTGTCCCACACACCGAGGCAGCCAAAGCTAAGGTCCGCTCATCCTCATCAGTGTTACCCCGACTGACGGTCAGGACTTTCCATTCTCACATGGGACATTGACGTAAATGAGGAAAACACAATTAAAATGACTTCTGATTCTAGTTGGGCTTTTTAGTTTTGCTATTTTTTACTGAAATGTCTTTTTGTTTTTTTGTTTTTTTAAACAGAAGTGACATTGTCTCTATTTCCAGAGGCGAAGATCTTGCTAACCGAGTTTGTGGAGCCGCCGGTTACTCCGATTCCTGTAAATCGAACGCATTTCACGTTTCCGTCAAGTAGTACGGGGTTAACGGGTCGTGATGCTTCCTCGTCAGCGTGCAACACGGGGCTGTCATTCCGAGACATCGACTGTCAAACTGCTCAGCTTGAAGCTTTGTTGAAAACACAAACTTTAAGGAACTTGTTTCTAAAATGAAGGTCTAGATGCATGCAAACAGAAGCAGCAGTGGGTTTTTACACAGGGGGCACGTGGCTTTCTGCCAGGGCAACAGTCCATCAGGGGGCAGCAGGACCACCCATACAAGGAGGATGCTGACTTTGAAGCAGAAATTTGAGTATTTGAGTAGAAGAAACATTTTATAGAATCAGTTTTTCTTGTTTTCTTGGCGTTGAACTCCAAAAAACCCCAAAATGAACCCAAAATGTCTAATAAAGTTTTATCAAGAAAAGAAAAATAGGCATAAAAAAGTATATATATATATATTTTTTGCTGATATTTTCACCTTTTACTCACTCACCACAGTAAAGCCAATCATTTATTGCCACATTGTTGGTGTTTGGAATCCAGTCGGCGTCCGTCGCCATGACCAGCGATTTCAGCACTGGAAGTGGAAACTCATCCAATCGAAACCAAAGACGTGACAAGCAAACACTTGACACAGCCGCGTCCGCGCTGTCCGCCAAGTCCGAGTGACACCTGGCTCTCAGACCAGTCAAAATGTGGCCCGGAAAACATGACGGACACAGAAATGTAATGAATACATTCCCCGTTCGGCAGGAACGTATTTGAATCCAATTTCTAGCGAGCCGCGGTACACTTTATATTTTGTTCACTGTAAATAGCTTTGAAAATGAATGAATATTACATCAAGCAATTCCTTTTCCCTGCAAGTAGTGAAAGGGCTTTTAAAAACACAGTATGACATTTTGTTCGGGGTGGCTGTAGAAATAAATTATAGTCCAAGTATATTCAAATTACTTCATTGTGTCTATTTTAAGATTACATTGTTAAGGAAGCAGGAACTCCTCGAAGGGGATGGGGAAAAAAAGTGACGAGAAGGTAATCATCGCTGTGATTTAACGTGTGGCGTAATTTCTTCGTCCATGCCCTTTTTTTTTCCTTTTCTTTTTTCTTACATTATG